AATATCATCCGTATGATTAGTATGATTACTGTTATTATCAGAATCATCATTATTAGTATGATTAGTATTGATCGTACCGTTATTAGTAATATGCCTATTATTCGCGTTCGTCTTGTTATTCTTCCTCATCCTCCCCCTCCTACCCCTCCTCCTCCTCCTTATCCTCCTCCTCCTCATGATAGGCCGATTTTCCACCACCACTACCATAGGTAGGAGGGGGAGGAGCAGAAGAAGGAGGGGAAGAACGAGGAGGGGGAGAAGGAGGACCTCCCCATCCTCCCCTTTCCCCCGTGCAACCCAGGGTAGCGGTGGAGGGAAATAGGCCCATCAGGTCAAGCCCGCGCGCCAGGAGGCGAGCCCGTGAAAGGCGCAGGCGGTGGCAGTGTACTGCGTGCTGTTCACGCTTGCGCCCCGATCCTACGTATCGTTCACATGGCGCTCTCATCAAAAATGGCGACAACAAAAAAACGAAAATCTGCGGCACGATGTTGGAAAACATCTGTCATCCGGAGTCCAAGAACGCCACTGAGAGCCGATCCACCGATCCCCCCCCCGTGGAAATTGGGAAATCAAGGCGGCCCTCCGCGGCCAGTTTTTCGGCTGGCGCTGGCCCCCCCCTCCCTGCACGCCCCAGGGCGGCGCCTTCGGCGCCGCGGGGAGGGGGCGCTGGCGCCAGCAGAGAAACCGACGGCGGACGTCTGAAACTGATGCGTCTGTGCCTGTTCCGCCCTGGAAGCGCCTCGTCCAAGGCATCCGTCAGCTCGCCCAGTCGCGGCACCACGTCGCGGAACACCACCCGGGCGCAGCGGTCGTACTCGGCCACCCTGGACTCCAGCCCGGAGGCCAGCGCCCGGCGCTCGCGCTGCTCCTCCTCCCGCTGCCGCTGCAGCTCCGCGATGGCCTCGTCCACCCGGGCGGCCTCGCCGCGCAGGCGCAGCGCCGCCTGCTCCTCCTCGAGCCGCGCCCACGCATCGGCCGCAGGCTGCTCACGCGAGCAGGACTGGGCCTCCAGCAGCCCGAGCCTCGAGCCGAGGCTGGCGACCGCGACCTCGAGCTCCGAGGACAGCAGCTGGTCCAGCAGCCCCCGCGCCTCCTGGACCTTCGCCGTGCACTCCTCCCGCAGCTGCGCGGCAGGCCCGGGAGCCTCCTCCAGCCTGCGCAGCCTCTCCACCATCGAGGACAGCCCCTCGTCCCCCCGCGCCTCCGCCTCGGCCAGGCGGGCAGCCGCAGTCGCCACCTGGCTCTCGAGCTCGGCCAGGCGGCCGTCGGCGGCGCGGGCCAGCTCGAGCAGTCGCGCGGTGCCGGCACTGGCGCCCTCGAGCTCGGAGAGCCTGCTCTGCATGGCGTCCAGTCGGCTGTGCCAGTCGGCCTCCTCTGAGGAGAGCTCCAGCTGGGAGACCTTCGCCTCCAGCACCGTCAAGCGGCCGCCGAGGCGGCGCTGCAGGCCTCCTGCGTCGAGGGACTCGAGGGCGTCCAGCCTGGACAGGGCAGAGCTCGTCAGGCCCTCCCGCCGGCGCAGCCGCGAAGCGAGGTCCCCAGACTCCGCCTCCAGCTGCTCCAGCCGCTTCTCTGCCGCGGCTATGCGGCGGGGCTGCAGCAGTCGCTCCTGCTCCTCGGGAGACGTCTCTGGCGCGTCTGCCTGCGCCGTCAGCACGTGCGCCTCCACTCTGGCGTCTGGGCTTTTGCGCTCGGACTGCGGCAGTCGACTGGCGGGCCTCGAGCCCTCCTCCTCGCACCACGGGCGGCCTGCGTGCTGCGCCGCCGCCTCGGTGCTCAGGAGCTCGAGCCTTCGCAGCCACCCTTGCTCAGCCTCAGCATCGTGTTTCGCCTCAGCCGCCGCCACGTATCCGGCATGGCGCTGCCGAAGGCCGTCTTGCTCAACAGCCCCTTCCAGCGCGGTGAGCCGCGCGAAGATAGCCTCGAGGCAGTCATGGGCTTCGCTGCTCGCGCGCTCCAGCTCGTCCAAGCGGTCTGTAGTTGGCGATGTCAACGAGCTGCCCACGACGCATGGTGGCTGCCGAGAGCGGTCGCCCAAGGCGACAGCAGCCACCTGCTCTTGGATGGTATCCATGCGCATGCATATGGATGCTGCATTCGATTCCTGGGCCTCCATCCGCGACAGCAGAGGCTCAAGCAAGGGACTGACGGCGGCAGTGACACCCTGGCGTTGCAGCTCCCAGAGCCTGCAGTCCAGGCCGTCCAGCTGCGCCACACGCGAGCCTATCTCGTCGGCGAGGGCACCGACCTGGGCCTTCAGCTCGGCCAGAGTGTTGCGCAGCTGCGGCTGCGCCCGCTCCCAGGAGCCGACCTTGGTCTGCAGCTCCCGCACCGCCTCCTCCTCGAGCCACTCGCCGCGGAGCTCGGCCCGCGAGAGGCGGGTCTCGAACGCGCCCAGCTGCCCGTACGGGTGAGCTGGCAGTGCCGCTGGCGACGCCGCGGCGGCCATGGCAGAGGGGAAGCGCGCCTCGCCAGAGCGCACGGGCCCCGTGGCGTCGCACATGCGGCGCGCCGGGCGGCCGCTGCGCTGGGCCGACGCGCGCCAGCGCTGGGCGCCGCGGCCCGGCTTGAGCAGAAGCTGCGGATGTAACTGGAGCCCTGACCTCTCGTCTGCGCGCCGTTGCGAGTGCAGCTGGCGGGTCCGTGTTCGCCTCTGGGAATCAGCGAGTCGGCGACAGAAGCGGCACGCGGAGGAAGGGCAAAGCGTGCGAGAGAAGGGCCGAAGCAAGCAGGTGCGGCTCAGACCACTGGGGGGACCCGTGCAAGCTTCACACAACCAGAAGCCACTCAAACCGCTGCCAAGACCTATCCCAGGTGCCTTTCGGATTATGTTTCCGAACCGCACTCGCCAGTCGCGACAATCGGCGGCCCCTGAGGTTCCCACAATAACAAACATGTTGCATGTAATCCCACCAGCCCTTTAGGGCGCGACTGGTTTAGAGCGGTTCCTCTTCCACCCCCCCGTCTTCCCATTCAGCCTCCCACTGGACCTGGACGGGGTGTTCCCCGAGGGCCTCAGCGACAAGTTGATTTTACGTCGGTGTTGGGCCAATGTTGGCCTTGCGAGGGGAGCCCAATTGGAACCTCCCGCTTCTTTGATCGATCACCTCCAAGATGGCACCAAGATAGCCCCCAAGGCTCCCAAGAGTGCCCAAAGAGGGTCCCCAAGAGGCCCAAAAGATGCCCCCAGATGCCCAAAAGGAAGCTCCCAAGAGGCCCCTAGAGGCCCCAAGAGGCTCCACCAAGGCACCCAAGACGCTTCATCGGGGATGGACAGACCCCCCTTTAGTAAAACTTGGTTTAGTGAAAACGACCTGAGGCCCAAACCTGGCGGGCGCAAGCCTGGAAAATAATGGCCACGGCACCCTCTCGAGAACCGAAAACGGACAATTCACTAATCGACGTGTCACTGTTGGGGGTTCTGTCCACCCCCGACTTCAATAGACCCCCAAAACACCTCAACAGGCCTACAAAAGCTCTCAAGAGACATCCGAAGAGACTCCGAGAAGCATCCAAGAGGCCTCTGCCCTTTCTGTTCGCCCTCCATATATTTATGTGTGGATTGCTCTTTTTGCTATTAATATTATTCAAAGTATTATCACTATGAGTAATATTATCATTATTCCTCATCCGCAAAATCATCATCCTCCCTCCTCCCTTCTCTTCCCTCCTCCCCTTCCCCCAGCTCCTCCTCCTCCTCCTCCTCCTCCTCCTCCTCCTCCTCCTCCTCCTCCTCCTCCTCCTCCTCCTCCTCCTCCTCTTGTGGTTCCTCCTCCTCCTCCTCCTCGTCCTCCTCCTCCTCGTCCTCCTCCTCCTCCTCCTGCTCCTCCTCCTCTTGTGGTTCCCCCCAGTGGAGCCCACGAGGGAAACTACGAACCGGCAATTCGAGCTTTCCGCCCCGAGAGGGGCCCAGGAGGCCCCAAGAGCGCCTCGAGGCCCCAACAGACCCCCAAGAGACGCCTGCGATGGCACAATACGGGCCGGCGGAATGAGCGAAGCGACTGAATGAAAAACTGTACGGTAGAGTTGGCGGGTGCGTATCATCGCGTTCCGCAAATAGCTGGGCATACTTTGAATGCAGTCGCCGTTCGCGTCTTTCGAGTGTCCAAGACGGGCCAAGAGGCCCAAAACATCGTCCCAACATGCACCGACAACTACAAACGCAAGCACGTACACTCTGTCCTCCCGCGGAGGCGTGATGGCACCGTCGCGAAGGGCTAATCCAGCTCAAACGCACGCGCACGGACACACACACACACACACACACGCACGCACGCACGCACGCACGCACGCACGCACGCACACACACACACACACACACACACACACACACACACACACACACACTTTGTTCGTCGGCGGCTAGGCAGAGTCACTGCGCTGGCGATGGGGCGTACGCAGGGTGCACAGAACGCGGATTGGGCCGCCATGCACGGGGGGACGAGGAAGACGCTGGGCGCGGGCAGGACGGAGAAGGAAGCCAGGCCCGCTCAGAGCGGGGCCAGGCGGCGGCGGGGGGGCGGCGCCGTGGGCGGGGCCAGCGGCAGCGAGGCAGCAGCTGGGGGGCAGGCAGGCAGGGCGGCCGCCGGAGGCAAGCGCCCAGGAGGGGGCAGGCCCAGCACGAGCTGGAGGCGATGGCAGTGCAGCGAGGCGCCCATGGGAGCCAAGGTCACAAGCGGCCTGCGAGGCTGCCCGAGGGCGGCGGCCAGCGCGGGAGCAGCTCCAGGGAAAGGGTCGGCCCGAAAGCCAGGCAGAGCAAGGGGAGGCGAGAAGGGCACGACCAGCGAGTGCCAGGTGGGGAGGAGCGGCGGAGAGGAGGACACGCACCGCGGGTGCGAGGTCGCGGATGACCCGCGAGGCAACCCCGAGGCGGCGCACGCCAGGCCCACGCGCCCGGGACGCCCAGACTGGGCGGGGCGGTCCCAGGGGGAGCGCAGGCGGCGGCGAGGAAGGGGCGGGAGCTCCGTGGGCGAGAGGGCCAGGTCCCGCGAGTCGGCGAGACAGCGAGGCGCCCCCGGCGAAACGGACCACCCCAGGGAGGGGAGCCGACAGGCGGGGGGAAGGGGCGCGGGGCACACCAGGGAGCGCCCCCCGCGGGCCGGAGCCAGGGGCGGAAAGCGGCACCCGGGGTGCCAAGGCAGGCAGGGCACAACGGGGGAGCGCCCGCGGGAGTGGGGGGGGGGGGGCAGGCCCGAGAACCAGGCGGGGCGGGAGCGGGGAGCGGTGGGCGCAGGCATCGCCAGGCGAAGGAGGGGCCGCCGCCCAGGGCGGAGGTAGCGGGCAGAGCAGCCCGGCACCAAAAACCTGCAGAAGGCCACCGCCTCGCAGCAGCGGGCGGACTCGGGAGCGGCAGAGGGGCGGCGAGGCAGGCGCCTCCGCCCGGGCGGCAAAGGCGGGGCGGGGGGCGCGCAGCGGGCAGCCCAGGACGGGATGGCCGAGGAGGCGGCCAAGCGCGGGGCAGCCGTAGCAAGGAGCCGAGGGCGGGCGGCAGGACCAGCCCGCGCTCGGCCAGAAGAACGAGCCAGACCAAGTGCACCCCAAGGGCGGGGTGGTGCATGCAGGACGAGAGGGCTCAGGAGAGCTCAGCAGACGTCCGGCAGCAAGTAAAAACGGATGGAACGGCTGTGGCCGACCTGGAGGGGCGCGGGGTAGGGCAGGTAGCCCGGACGAGGCGCGTGGTCAGCGCGCCCTGGGCGGCCAGGCGCGAGATGCCAACGCACAGGAGGCATCCGTTGACGAGAGGTGCCGGGGGGCGGCGGCGCAGGCTGGGCCGTGCAGTGGGGGTGCGCCCTGAGCCGGGCGGAGCGGGGGGAGGCACCGAACTGGCGCATTGAAGTGCGAAGGAGAGCCGCGGGGAGAAGGGCGTCAGCGGCGGCGGCAGCCGGCCACGGGGCGGGGCCGGGGGCGGGAGCAGGTACTCCAGATTTCGTAATAAAGGGAGGGGGGTCTCATTTCGGAGGGGGTCTCTTCCAGGCTATCTTGGAGGGCCTGGGGGTCTTGGGACGATGTTTTGGAGGGTTCTCCCACGGGGGAGGTCTGAAATGGCTTGTCTTGGAGGGTCCAGACCCCCTCCCTTTTATTACGAAATCTGGAGTAGCCCCAGCGAAGCCCGGGCCCAGCGCATCTGGGGGGGCGGCCGAGGCCTGGAGTGGGCACGGGGCGGCCAGGAGCACCCGCCCCAGGGAGGCGCCGTGAGGCAGAGGCGTCGGCCGGGCAGCGCTGCGGGGGTGCGCCTGGCAGGGAGGGGGGGACGCACCGAACTGGTGCACAGAACTGTGACAAGCAGCAGGCCGCGGGGCACCGACACACACACACACACATATAGAAAAAAAAACAACAAAAAAAAAAAGAAAAAAAAAAAAAAGAAAACATGTATGTTGCTTTACATATAAATGTATGTATGTGTATGCATATGTATTTATACATGTATATATGTATATATATGTACATATATATATGTATATGTACATATACATGAGTATGAATATATATATATATATATATATATATATATATCAAGAAAGATCCAATGCGCTCCAGGAACCTTCCGTCTCCGCTGCCAACTGCCAAGTAGGCGTTCCCCGTGTCTGGGGGAATGCACAAGCGATGCCAACCTTCACGTTTGCCTTCTCCCGAGTCACGGAAAGCGCGCAGAAGGACATCCTGCTCGAGCGAAGAGGAAGAGGACGAGGAGAAGGAGAAGGAAGAGGAGAGGAGAGTCGGGAGGGGGGAGGAGGGGGGAGGGGAAGGAAGGGTCGTCTTTCCCCCCCTGGCGCAGGCGGCAGGACCACAACTGTTCTTCTTTGACGGGGCGTTTGACCTCGCGCAGCTGGAAGTTCCGCTCGGTGAACTCCTGCGGTGGGATCTGGGGGTGCTCGTACGCCTCCTCACGCATCGTCCTCCCCGTCCTCTTCCGTCCTTCTCCTCCTCCTCCTCCTCCTCCTCCTCCTCATCCTCCTTTTGCTCCCTGTCCTCCTCCATACTCCTGCCTCTCCTTCTCCTGCACGAGCTGCGCGCTTCACCCCAAACCTCCACGGCGCCCACAACAGTGCTGCACAACAAGGGCGTCGGGGCACCAAAAAAAGGACACGATCAGGGATCCTCAAAATGTTCTTCGCTTAGAAATTTCGGGTTTACTGCAAACCCCGTCGGTCAGAGGACTAGGCCGCTGGCGACACAGAAGGAGGGCATGGTATGAGAAAACAAGGTGCGTGGAAGCAGAGCGGCGGCGGCGGCAAGCTCACTCACGAGGGGTGTCATTTTCGCGTTCCGCGGGCAGCTGCGCCTGACGACATCTGGAAGCGGACGTCGGAAGGGTGGACCCCTGGGTCCTCTGCGATGCGGACCTGTGTGCCGAGAACGAGATGGCGGGTTGTCGAAACCGACGCCCTGCGGCTGGACGATGAGGACGACGCGGCTGCGGCTGCACGCTGTTACGTCTGCGGGCATGCCGAGGTGGAGGCTTTTCACCGCCATCCTGCTGCTTGCCACGCAGCTCCTCGG